AGCGTAAAAAGTTAGGATAAACAAAACTGTGAAAGGTATGCGGATCCCTGAACAAAATATTTATAGATTCATAACCAAAGTCTATCTGTTCTCAATACAAAACATATCCAAACCATAACTTCTGTTGCAAATTTTCAGGAAACGTGTGCTTTTCTTATCATGAAGATGTACGGTGTCCGCCCTGGAAAGCCACATTTGAAAAATACCTATTGCCGCGAAAGCCACAATGAGTAAGGGAATCATTACCGTTTTTTTCAAATAAGCGTCACCCATTGATCACAATGGCTTAACATTGTTTTAGTGACTTGTCCTTAGTTTGTTTAGTTGACATATGATGGGCGACTTTTATATTCTCGTTGAAGTTTTTAGTTAACATTAATCTTTTCGTGTTTATTTTGTTCTTTAATCTTGCATTCTCTGCTTTTATTGTAGATTGTATTATCTTAATTCCTATGTATAGATGTACATATGTTCTTCCTGTCACGTGTTACGCCTATGTCGTCACAACCAATTGTACTTTGGGCCACATGGCCAAAACACCGAATTAATCTATTAGACCATTTTCCGGCGGTAACGTGACTAATGACGCGATCACGTGACCAGGTCAAGCTTTCGTACAAAATGGCGTCTGTCAAGCATCGTTGTAGTTACTGATCACGTTTGTTGTAACATTTATTCGCAGTTTATCGAGTTTTTAGTGAATGAAATACTTGTTCTAAATAGTTCTTGTATATAATTTGTCCCTTCAGTGTATATAATTTTTCTCTGAGGCTGCATAAATCGGCTGAGCAATTAGAATGTAGATCTGGTAGTCGGCACGCCTCCGATGACAGGTGCATGTCATAATAAACAGTTTAAATAAGTTATGATTAATTACCATGGAGAAATTGAAAGTCCCAGAACTTAAAGATTATTTGAAAAATTACGGAATAACAACTACAGGTCACAGAAAAGATGTTCTCATAGCTTTAGCCAATGCAGTTGTCAAACTTGAATTGGAGCCTGATCTCGATTTTCAACATGACTGTCGACCAGAAACGTTTATGAAGCAGAGTCTCACAGACTTACACTGTGAGTTTGATGATCCATTTGCTCTTACTTATACATCTGACTTCAGCCTCATCCCAGACTTCGGCTTGTATGATATCTTCAACTACCTGTTATTTCATAGATCTGATTATGATAGGAGGAAATTGAAGGCTTTCAAGTCTTTTGGGGACTATCGTTTGTTTTATGAAGGTCATGTGTTAGACCTTCAGTATTGTGACATTAGTGATGCCAGTAACCTTTGTGCATTCAAGTCAAAGGTGAAACCAACACAGAAGGATTCTTCCTATCTTGGAAAGCCAACATATGATATGTGGTTCCTCATGGAAATATCTACAGCAGTGATCAAACTGGCATTTTGTGAATGTCCTGGCGGGTAAGTTTTAATCCATGTTCAGTACAATTATCCACCACTGAATATATTTTCAATACATGTATTTGAAATGTTTATTTAATGCAACCTTTATTCAAAAGAAAATTGTAATTGATTTGATATCATGTTTATAAAATGTTAATATATTGGCATTTAAACACTTCAGTGTTAATATAATATATCATTCAATTTCTTTGTCATTTTGTGATCATATTTCAGTGCTGATGGGGCTTGTCGACACATATCAGCAAGCCTGTATACGCTTGAGGATTTTGAAAAGCCATCCGTTACATCTGGTCCCTGTCTGTGGAAGAGGAGAGCCTTGAGCCAGACTGAAGCTGTGCCTATAAAGAATCTTAGGATTGAAACTGTTGGGTGTGTGGTAATTAATAATAACTAATCTGTTAACTCCACATATTCTTAATGGGTACTTAATGTTTATTCTAAACTTACATTATATAATGATAAATAAATGTGCATTTGTAATGCACCTTTTCCCTGTACAAGAATCAAGCTCAAAGCGCTGACATGGTACACTTACATACTGAAATGTAAACTCTGTCAAAAAAGAAACGCAACCCCTGTCCTCAGATATGAAAAATTCGTTTGATTGAAATGTTATTGCTTCCAAACTAAATTTTATTCGAATGTATTGAAATGATACACGTAATTAATGAAGATTACCATCCAAACAACTGCATTTGTACGCATAAGTGTATTTTATTGCTTATTCCGTCACAACGCATGAAATGACCCTCATGGTGACTTCGCACAAAAAAAAACACATGCAAATCATGAAAATGGCAGTTAATGTAGAGGTGTATAAAAGCCCATGTGCTTCCGTATTATATTCATTCATTTGTCGCCGAAAAGCTGTGTTAAAAATGCCACGATTGAGTGCTGCCGACCGAAATATCGCCATTGGTCGTGTTCAAGCCGGAGAAAGTTTTGGAACTGTTGCACGGCACCTAAATGTTCACAAAACAACGATATCGCGACTTTGGAGCCGCTACAACAACTTCAATTTGACCAACGATCGCCCGAGAAGTGGAAGACCAAGAATCACGACCCCCCCCTTCAAGATCGGTACATCCGGGTCCATCACCTGCGTAATCGGCATGCCCTACCAACCGTGACTGCCACACAAATACCAGGTTTGAGGAGAGTGTCAGCTCAAACGATTAGGAACCGTCTGAAAGAAGCGGGTTTACGTGCCTGTAGACCAGTTGTTGGACCTGTACTACGCCCCCTACATCGACGCCGACGACTCAGGTGGTGCAACAACGTAAGGATACGGACTTTACAAAACTGGAGGCGAATCTGGTTTTCTGATGAATCACGTTTTCTTTTGCAACGTCACGACGGAAGACAGCGTCTGTATAGGAGACGTCATAAACGTTTTGCGCCCATCTGCGTCCGACAGGTGGACAGATTTGGCGGAGAAAGCGTCATGGTTTGGGGAACCATCTCATACAACCAGAAATCAGACTTGGTGATCGTTCCAGGGAACCTGACAGCCCAACGTTACATCAACCACGTGTTAGAGCTTCACCTTCTCCCGATTATTGACCAACAGACACAGATTTTTCAACGGGACAACGCCCGGCCTCATACTGCACGTGCAACAATGAACTTTCTGCAGAATTCCAACGTCAATGTCTTGCCATGACCCTCTAAATCACCAGACCTCAACCCTATTGAACACCTGTGGGATACTCTGGATCGACGCGTACGTCAACGTCAGCCGCCGCCACAGACGCTGCAACAGCTCGCCGTTGCACTGCAGGAGGAGTGGAGAGCCATTCCCCAGGAAAGAATCCGGCGTCTTATCCGTTCTTGTCCAAGGAGATGCCGTGCAGTGATTGCAGCGCGTGGTGCTCATACGAGATACTGAGAAAGACGCCCCCCCTGGTGACAAACTGGTGTCTGTGAGATGACTTTTGAAATGACAATTTTAAACATTCCCATCTGGGTTATTATTCTGCCAAATTTCAGACTTCTGTCTTAAATAATAAAAATGCCGTGTCGTCCTAAAACTTCAGATCAAAATCTCTAAAATACAGGGGTTGCGTTTCTTTTTTGACAGAGTTTATAAGTGAAGGAAATATAGTTAGTTTTAATGAGAAGAAACAGGTGGGTCATGTGCCAACGTTTGAATGGGTTAAAGTCAACTGCTGATTTTATGGCCAAAGGGTGGGAGTTCCACAGTAGAGGAAAGAACAAGCAAAGGATTCCCTTCCAAATGTTTTAATTTTATAACGAGGTGCAAGTTCTGATTTTGAGAGCTAGCTGCCTTTAATTAATTTCAGGCAAATAAAATCAAAAGAATTTTTTTCAGTTATGGTAAGGAGAAACAGGAAGTGGGAGAGGAGGAGTTCGACCCCAGACACCCTGAAGACAGACAGAGTTTGTCACAGGAGGCAGCAAAACAGTTCATTGATGAATTGACAGAGGTGAATAATATTAAATGAGATCTAGTGCCTACTTTTTCACTTGTAACACCAAGCAAATTCATATCGTAAAATTTTCCCCCAATTTGTAGGTTGCCCCTGTCGCAGTTGCTTTTCAGCTGTTCTCAGACAAGACTAGCCTCGCTGAGATGGGACAAGGGGAGCATGGGGTGGACAGAAGAATCAGACAGCTGTCCATAGTCAGCAGGGCACAAGAACTGACAATGAGTAATTCTGATCCAGCTGATGTCATGAGGAAACTTATCTACACAGCAGATGACATAGATAACATAGAGGCGAAAACCTGTGGACAAAGCTCCAATGAAAACTGTCATCACATTAGAAAGGGTATCATAACAGCTTCACTCTTCAAGCGGATTAACACTCGTGCCAGGACTCTGAGATCAGATCCTGCTGCTGATCCCAGTAAAGCTGTAGACTGTGTACTAGGCAGAAATGCTTCTGACCTTGATACTCAGCCTGCTGTAGTGTGGGGTAGGAAGAAGGAGAATGCTGCAAGGAGGGCTTACATTGCCATAGAGGAGAAACAACACAGGAATCTCAGTGACTGTACCTAGGTTGCGACTTTCTCAAGCTATGCCTCACATTGCTTGATCTGCAGATGGTATTGTCTCATGTAAATGCCATGGACGTAAGCTTATGGAAATAAAGTGTCCCTACAGTTTTAGAGATAAGTCCCCCAAGGAGGCTGCTTGTGCAACTGTGGGATGTGAAAATAGAGATGGTGTCTGGACAGTTACTGAGCGTTGTGACTACTATCCCCAGATCCAAGGTCTGATGGGGATATATGGTCTAAGAGTGTGTGATCTTGTACTTTATACAAGATCTGGAATTTTGGTGATATCTGTTCAGTTCAATGAGGACTTTTTCTATAGGATGCTTCAAAACTTGAATTATTTCTATGTGAATTATGTTATTCCAGAATTATTTAAGCATGTGTGAATTCATTGATCACTTTTCTGCTTAGTTCAAGCACACTTGCATCTTACTCATCAATGCACCATGACATTCCATGTTAGTGTTATTGATAATAAATTATTAGACATGTTGGTTAGAGACCTGTTAAGGAGAAGGAGTTATTTCAAATGAAATACAATTACAAAATTTATTAAGGCTTTGTTATATTTTTATTTTTTAAAACTTTACTCAAACTTCATTGAGATCAGTTCACACTAAGAACACTAGGTCATGTTCAACAATACATGGAAGTTGTGGCGGCTGAGAGGGTTAGGCAGCTGACCGTGTGCTGGCGATTAGGTGCCTGAGTCTTGACGGTGTGGGTTCAAATCCCAGATGGGACTCAACCCAAACAAAAGTACTAGAACCTGTACTTTACTAAGAGAGTGTAATCCCAAATATATGTTAAATACATGGGAGACAACTCTGTCAAAAAAGCTCAAAACTTTTCAATATGTTCATGACAACAGAATCATGAAAGTCATTGGTCATGAATATGGCAATATTCTAATAACATCAGTTACTTTACAAGTGGTTTGTAAAAATTGCATAACTGAGCACAAACTTGTACACTTTGATTAATAAGCTTCTTGGATTTCAGCGGAAAAATACCTTGTAAAAATTTTAAGTTCTTGAGGCGAAGAATTGCCCGTTCAACATGTATTCGAGCATGGGCTATTCTCCTGGTTTTCTTAACAGTTGCCTTGCTTAACTGCTTACCATGCGCACAAGGGTGTGTGTTTAATGTACATCCTCTTAATACTAAGAGATCCCTAATCAAAAAGCCCCTGTCAGCCATTATGTCATCACCATAGTGTAAGTTATCAAGGAAACCTGATTCTTAAAAATGCGCCTATCTGACACTGGACCAGACCACAGTGGAGACTTGTAAGTAAATGCACCCGTTGGGGAAGTAGCAATCAGACATTTAAAGGTGTTGTGATGTTTCTACTGTGACCAGGTCACTCGCTGACTAGATGGCAATGAGGGTTTCTGTACAAACATTCTGTACAATCTATAATTGCAATAGTCTTTTCAAAATATCTAAATGCCTTTGGGAGGTGAGCTTGAACCTGCAGTCTGATTGGCAACTTAACAACAAAGCTGAGCTCCCTTGATATTAACTCAATGTATGTCCGGAAGTAACGGCTAACTGTCGATGATGATATGCCAAACAGATCACTCAAATGGTCGACATCAAGGCCACGTCTCAGGCGCACAAGTGTTAGGAGGAAAGCTGTGGGAAGGTGGACAGTCCCCTGGGGTGATGGTCGTCTTTGTTTTTGGCATTCTCCTGAAAAGTAATTATGTATCAGTTAACATGGTCAAGTGGATCTGTTCATTAATCAATATATTTCACAATGACTGGTACTAGGAAGTCAATGATAATTTGCAAGTGACCATTTAGTAAACAGTTGCACTTTACAGCACTGCCTGTGAAAGGGTTAAGAAATGACATATTGATCAGTGACCAAGTTACATACAGTGTATATCTGTCAGGAGATAGTATATCGGTAGTTATTAATAAAAGCAATATTAAAGCAAAAAACTATACATACTGTTGTTTCTTCCCCTTCCCACAGCGTTAACCTCTCAGCTTTGGACTGTAGTAATCTGTGCAGGAACAACAGAAGCTGGGTGGATGTAATACGTGAAATAAGTATTAATATTGGTCAAATAACTATTTTAAAACACACATTAAGGTCTATATCATGCAAAATATATTATCAATAAATAAAACATAAAATGAATGTCTTTATTATAGACTTGAAACAGATATTTTTACCTGTGTAGAATTTGCATGATTTGTCACTTCTGAGAACATCATCCATGAATAGTTTTCTCTGTAGAAGTTTAGGTTGTTTGAGCTGATCATCACTGTAGCCAGCCAGATCATCATGCAAGATTTCAGTCTGAGTAGCTGCATCAGAATTGGAAACCTGTTTTCTTGCATCTGCAAAATAAAACATTTTTGTAAAAAAACAAAACTGTGCGGATGATAAATGGTCGAAAAGTATACACTGAACAACATCTTATAATTTTATAATTGCAAACTTTTTCAGACAATAAAGAATGCTAGAAACCCAACCGGATTTCATTAACTAAACATTCCATTTAAAAGCTTGTCTGTAATATAATCAAAGGATATACCTTCATTATCAACATTTGTATCTTGCTCTTCAGAACCCTCAGTTGTTTCATTTTCCTTAATAATAAAAACACATCTGCCATATGTGGTTTATTGTAGAAACGTGAGTCACTATTACAAATGCCATAAGCGCATCGTTTTACCCCCCATCTTGATGATATTGCACTTTGAACTTGGCGAGGCTCGCTCAAGGGCACGGTTGACAGCCGCCATTTTGTCCCAAAGCTTGACCTGTACCACATGATCGGCAGCTACATCACATGACTTGCGGAAATTACATAGGTGGAGCTTTGGGACGTAATGGCGGCTGTCAAAATGTTGCATGCACACTCCGGCACAGCGATGACTTAACATAACATCACTGCCACAGGCTAATTTGCATATCACGTGACCGGACTTTTCTCTCGTTTGTAATCAAACGCGCATATTCATAATAAGAAGAGACTGGACTCACGAAAGCTTTTCGGCGCTCTCTTCATGTTTTATATTGTTACATATATATTCTTCCACAACTGCGACAGTAAGGTTTATGACTGTACATATTTAGATATCAAACTGGCTGCATCGTTTGCTCTCCATCAGCTTCGATGACAGCACGTGGAGCCGTACAACCTATGTAAACAAAGGATCGCTACGCAAATCGATATAGTGTTACATGTTTTAGGATATTTTCTCAATGAAACTAAACCATTCTATCAAAGATGTTTAATTAGTTGTGTAGACTCGTCAAAAATATAAGAGCTGAGAAATATGTAAATCATATTGAATGGACGGTGCAAGATATGACGAATCGTCAACTTTTTCTGGCCTGTGGCAGAGATACTATTCTGGCTTGCCGCATGGAACTCTGGGTAGGAGAGTGTGTTGCATGAATAGCACGTGGATAGCTGACAAACAGCTGCAGAGTTGTCACAGCGTCGTCTTCAGGCTGGCCCATTCATTAGTCGAAGTAAGTTTATTTGTTACATGCATTTCTTTATTTTCATTTAAAGGCAGGTATAGTTTAAGCATGGCGCGCACTGTAAGGGTGGAGTTGACATGTGTGCAGATTGGTGAATCGTTTGATTGCATTTGATATCTTACAGTGGGATTTTATTGTCCCCCTGAGAGGGTATGTAGGAACACGTCTTTCCAAGTAAGTATGTTTAATCTCACCACATTTTTAATCATAGTGTATATGTTCGTTTAAATTAATGTCTAAACAGTCAACAGCTGAGGGGATGATGTAAATACCCAGCTAGGGTCCATGCAGGTAGCAGAAGTACTGTAAAGTACTCAAACAAGTTAAAAGTACTGTAAGTTCCCGTCCCCATCTACCTTCAGTTGTTGGCAACCAAAAGCCCATTTCTATATTGTATTGTTCTATTTAGAATATCGTTTTATGATAGCTAATTTTACTTTAATACATGTGATATACTAGCAGTTTTACTGTTCTTCGACAACAGACTTTTAATTTCTAATTGTATTGATCTGTAATAAGAAATTGTTCTCACGATATAGCTGAAATATTGCCAATGTGATGATAAATATTAACTCACCAACTCACTACAGTTGGATTTAGCAGTTGTTACATTTATTATAACTTACGTAATTCATCATGCATGTCAGTTGTCATCGCCTCGTACAGCCTCCTACAGTAAACTACTCCGTTGCACCTCGTTTCTTGGTTTCCAGTTGCTTCATTCGGCTAACATCACTGGTGGAAACATTGCGTTTATGTTTTTCGACAGATATAATGTCTCAGTTCGACTCACAATTAAACAGCGACACGGCAACGTTCGCAATGTTTACATTCCCACAATGCATTTAAGTTGTAGAATGAATGAATTCACGTGTTTGTTATGAATGAAAAAATAGTTACGTCAGAATGTGACCTAATTGAGAGGTCATCGGTTATCCAATCAAATCGTTAGAATTTCAGGTCAAGTCGTTACGACACAGGTCAACGCAATACGACACTCGTGTGACGTACGAGATTAATATGCAACTACCCATACGTTGACCACGTGGGAAATAAATTGCGATATGCGAGACGGGGCCCAGCTTAGTCCCTTCATCAGGTGAACTGGCAGTTAGGACTATGACGTCGTCACTATGACGTCATAAATGAGTTATGACGTCACAATGCAAGTGACATCACAGTACACTAGGGAGAGTACTGTATAAATGAGTTTTAAGAGTTAATTACATAATGATGAAAATTCATGTTAAATAATAGAGTTGAAAGTTGAATTGAACGGTCTCGAAACGTCGTGAGAGAAATTGAAAATAGTGGAGCGGCTAAGCAGATAAATTGTGCATTGAATGATAAAAGCATGAAACTTTGCACAGTTATAGTTTGATGGATAGTGAACATTTTAGGATATGGAGGCACTTAAAATAATTTCATTTTGCGCATGCGCAGGAGATACTAAATATTTTGCCTTTTCTGGCTACCGTTATAGCTTTGGGGCTGCCATCAATACACTAATGGGATGATTTGTCTCGAAAATACTGACCTGAATGACTGGCTAAACATCTTAAAAATATAGCAGGGTCAATGTTATGAACACCGACCCTCGCACCAACAGAGTCCAGTGCATTTAAGTGAGGACTGTTTGCATTTGCATCGGTTGTTACAGCCCTTTCTACAGCCACAAGACACCAACTCCTGACAAGATTGGGATGCTTGGTGTAGTGTTGTCCAGTAGGGAACAAACTGTCCACTTTCCTTCTGTGTCCAGCCCCACTCTGTTGGAGATGGGAGTTCAGGCTGTGGAAGAAGTGATTGACCCCATATGTGGCCTGCCTGGTAAGCAGCCCTTTTGACATGTTGAACAAGAGCTGCATGTGTTGGTGGGATGGCATGAATAGAGTTTTTCTTTGCAAATAGTCTCTTTCTGGCTTGATCAACATTTGTGCCAAGGCTGGTCCTGTCATACATCAATATGATGAACTTTTCAATGATTTTCATGACATCATCTGTGATGCTTCTTGGAGCACTAGACAGAGCAATTAGAGCCTGCGTCACCTCTGGAAAGATTTCCCATGTAGTCCAGGCTGTCTTCTTACCGTGTCTTGCAAATGCTGATACAGTATCACATCCTGTCAGAGCATGAAACATTGGAAGAGCACGCGATTTCTCAGGTCCAAGACATGCTTTGATTTCATGAGCTGCCAAGTAACGAAGAGTTTTTCCTGTCCCAAAGGCAAGCCATAGTTCGGAATGAATTGGCAAGAAGATCTGGCAAACCATGACTGCAAGCACGACAACGTCTGTATCGACTGTTCGTATCATAATCCGGTCATGGCCATGTTTTGCAGCATGAGCAACATGAAGCATTATGCGACTATCAGCTTCTTCGTGGTTGCAAGGGACAAGGGAAGACAAATCAGGTTGTAGAGGAACACAAAGTATCTTTTCTCCTTCTGTGACAATAACTTCCTTGTGCTGCTCTTGGACAGACTGAATAAGGGCCTTTGTCAAAAAGTGGAAAAGTTCCCCCTTGTTGCGATCGTCATGTAAAAAGCTCTGCCAGGTAACTGGCATGGTAGCAGTACCAATAACGTGTCTTTGAACACCTGTACCCCGTTGAGCTCTGACAGTTGCTTTTAGACTGTTGCTTATGTATCTATCCCAAATCAAATCCAAACGTGTCACATTTCGTAGTTGTGAATGGATGTATGGTATGAAAACCTCACGAGCATATTCATCAAATGTTTTGACTGTACCGGGCTTCAACATTTGTACAGTGACAGTGCCATCAACAATCAGACTGGTCACAGCTGGCATTTCTGATACTGCTGGAGCACTTGCTTCAAGACATGCCAACAGGTCACGTTTTGTTCCAATACGCAGGGATCCATTTTCAGATAAGGATGGTGGATACGTCTGATTTTCATGACGGAAAAATTCATCTAAATTTCCGCCTCGTGTCTGACAGCCAATGTACATCCTGGAAAAGAGTTCCATGTCAGTCTTCATTGTTTTCAGTTCTCCTTTACAACGTTTTATGGCCTTCGATTTTGAGCTGCCAAACAAAGTTAGATTGTTGCGTTAAATAACACTGCTGATAGGCTTTGTTCTGTCCACAAGACGTTCCTTTGTAAAAGTTTCAAACTGCTCTTTTCCTAGCTGCTCTACACACCTGACAGATTTCAGAACCTCAGCACCTGCTTTTTCTCTGGTATCAAGGACAAGCAAATCTGGACTGTCCTCCTCAAAGGGGTTTCCGAGTTCTTGGATGACAGCTACAAGAGAACTGACATCTTCAGCAAAATCTTTTTGTACACATGTAGTCTGATCATGATGGTGTATTTTTTGTCTCCCCTTTTGATGTAAGACATTCTCAAATTCTCCAATCACCCTTGACACCTCAGGCCCAGAAACCATCCAGCGTCTGAGTGCACTTGGATTTTCTGTAAGTCCAATGGCACCACCATCCCCCTTGATACAGGCATTATTTTGCTCATGTGCTTGATCAATTGGAATTGCAGAAAATGCACGCTTTGTCTTCTGTACTGTGAAGTAGCCCAAGTTGAATGCTGTTGCTACTGCTGGATTGGTGTCTGATAGCTCGCTCATATCTTTGAGATGAACTGGTATCCAACGAGCGTAGTTAGTGTGATCCAAGGCAAAGAACCATGGAACAAGTTCTGTTAGCACATCCAAGTACATGGCAAAGTTTGCTTCTCGTACAGAATGCACATATGCTAGAATGCACAGCTCTAGTTTCAAGGCAATTTCCCACAAGTGAAACATAGGAGACGTCTCTCTTCGCTTGGTACACCAAGCATAAAATTCCAGCGTATCTTCTCCTTCTACATGAGTCGAGGTAGCATATGTTTCATAGGCATTATGCTGTAAAATATCCAGTGAAGCTGCTGTGATTTGATGAGCTCGTCGTGTGCGGGTAACATGCATTGCCTTGAGGAAAGAATCTGCTGTTCCAGGTGTTGCAATCTCTGCCTGTACAAGGGCATGTGTCCATCCGCTTGCTTTCAGCCAGTCACCAGCAGTTTTTAATGCAGCCATCTCAATATGTAGACCCCCAAACAAACTGACAAATTTGTTTTCAGCATATGTCTCAGGCCACTTCCACTGTATTTGCTTGGCTATAGCATATAAAGGCTGGTCAAATGTTATGACACAAGACTGTCCTGGGTT